AGCAGACCACCGGAGAAGCTGACCATCCGAGAACTCTATGAAGAAGAACTCAGCGTCAGGATTGGAGGAAGACTCATTGGCAATCTGCAGTCTGCAGATGGCGCCCTGTCTTGGCTCGCTGACAGTGAGGAGGGCTTGACGCCCTTGCTGATGAAGATCAAGGGCGTCCTGCCTTTGGTAGGGATTGCAACCAGGTAAACAAAACCCAAATCCTCGCAACTGGGCCAATGGGCAGCATTGGGATCAACAGATAGGAAGATGGAAGCTGTCGGTTGTTTTCATGTTAATGTGGATCCACAATTGGTGCTCGTGGAAACAGCCGTCAAAAAGTGGAACGGTGTATTGGGAAAATCTGCCGCCCAAGACTTGTTGAAAGTGTTGAAGAGCGAGGGTGTCCCTTGGAAGGCTGAGGTGCGCCACAGCATTGGACACATGTGGAAGCTGGACAACGAGTAAGGAAGGCCACAGATGAATTGATGCGTGTGAATGATGAGGGTGGTGACGCGTATTAAAAGTACTGTGGACCGCCCGAAGAACAAGCAAATCCATCTTCGAAGAAGTACAGCCAGAATGCTCCTTAGAAATGAGGATGGGCAGGCTTCCTGCATCTCACGTGCTTTGGCCCTGTCGTCAGGAGAAAGCGGTCCCTGGAAGAGGACAGCATGCCGGGTAAAGTGGAGAGGCAGCAAAAACAAGGAAGACCCTCAACAGGATGGATGGACACAGTGGCTGCAGCACTGGGTTCAAACATGACAACAGTTGTGGGGCGGCGCACAATGACCAGGCAGTGTGTCATTCTGTGGTCTGTAGGATCGCTATGAGTTGGAACTGATTCAAGGGCACCTGACCACAATGAGGGAATCCTCAAGGAATGATGGAATACCCAGGAACAACAGCAGCAGGAGGGTTGGTAGACTCCTTGGAATGGAGTTGGGAGCCAGGAGGATGGATACCTTGGCCTCACTCTCCACCTGTCTTCCAGTCTCCTGCTGCCACCTTCCTTGACCACATCCACCTGAGATCTAAAGGTCAAGGAAGCCCACGAACTGGAGTTCAGACTGATCAACCTCCAGGAGTCCAGCCCAAGGTGGGCAGGGAGGGAGAGCTGACTTGAAGGGGCCACAGAAGATACCCGGCACACTATCTTTGGTGGACCACTAACCAGCAAGGCAGACACAGACTCCAGAGGCCTTAGGGGAAGTTGGGGGTGGATGATGCTCTTCAGAGAAGCCAGTGCAGCAGCCAGCACAGAACACCTGCGCGTTGGAGGTGGAGATCTTGATAGCTAGTTCTTGTTCTTCCACCCATTAGCTGTGCCCCCATGGACCAGCCCCTAACCTCTCTGACTTCCAACTTTCTCCACCAGGAAAGGGAGCATATTCCGATCTCTCTCTCTTGATTGCTTAGCTTGTTTCACATGTGCAGTTCAAGGGCATCCATTGTGACCATCATATTGAGCCACAGTCACCGTGAAAACATTTCCAATTTTGTTCCATTGTATTTTCAGGGCTGTTGTGTAGCACTGAGTATGGGCTGGGAAAGGCTGTGTGGTGGACAGCATAACAGCGTGCAGAGGGCAGTCAACAATCCCCACCGGTACTTGAGTTCCCCGTCTCCTTCTCCTGCCTCTCCCCCCAGGTGTGGAAGCGTTCTGGGGCATGGTTCTTCAAGGGCTTCCCCAAACAAGTCCTCCCGCAGCCCATGCCGATCAAGAAGGCCAAACCCCAGCAGCCTGCCAGTGAGCCTGCGGCCCCTGAGCCGTCAGCCCCTGAGCCCAAGCACCCCGTCCGGGCTCCAGCTCGAGGTAAGACATTATAGCTTCTCAGCTGAGCCCAACGACAGTTCCGGGCTAGCTGGTCAACCTGCAGAGTCCCCTGACCTTGTGTCTGTGTTTCTACCCAGTTGATGGGCATCAGCCTCTCAACTTGACCTAGGACGTCAATGTCCCCTGGACAGCTCACCGTGAGACCTTCCCAGGCAGGTGATGCAGGGGACATTCCAGCAATGCCGGGCTGCCAACAGCCTTTGTTTCCCTCCCTGAAGAGAGAACTGAAAAGGGAATTACATTAAGACGGAGAGAGGCTTTCCCTCCAGTTATAACCAGGAACCTGAGGGTACCTGGGGGATTGCCATGAAGGCCTTCCTGGCCCCAAGTATTTTTTCAGTCATCAGCATGCCTGAAGT